TCAAGTAGTCTCTCCTCAGAGTCGGATTTTCGCCGATCTTTTGGCGTCTTAATACTCCTATTCCCAGTACTTTGTCGCGTTACCTAGCAGCGGGGATCAGAGACCTTTCGGAAAGAAGAAGAGGGATGAACGAAACAGACAGAACGGAAACGGGCGAATGTACCTCGTACCCAGTTCAACTTTATCGTACCTAGAATTTTCACAACATTCAAACTTCTTTAAACAGGCAGAGTTCGTCCAGCTAATTTCTACACAAGACTCTTTCACTTATCACAAAGAGTATGTCCTTTAAATATCACCAGTACATTCTGTAGATGTATAGGAAAATAATTACCAATTGCCATGGTACCTATGGAATTCAAATCACTGCAACTTTGCAATTTTCCGGAAATTTTATCCACACCGTAACATCTACAATTTCTACGCAAAGTGTTCAACTACAGAAGGAACAAATTTCTATGGTGACTTTACATGCCAACATTGCAAATACAATAAAAACAGAATACTAATACAAAGTTAAATCTTTCTCATACAAATTATTACAACAAAAACAGAAAGAGGTTTCGCTTAATTTCAAATGTTACGATCAGGAGATAATTAATAAATTACAATGAATTACTTGTTTAAGCTACCAAGTTTTAGATACTAAGGACCGCTCGTCAACTTGTCGTTTTTTTTCTTCTCTACTAGTTTTATATTTTAAACATTCTTTTCTAAACATACATGTTCGTCTAAACTATGATCTTTTCATGTAATTTAGTACACACTTGAATACAATATTTCCAGAAAGCATATGAAAAAGGGCCAACAAACACGCTCCGAAGCATTTAATATGCTTCTTTTCATTAAATAAACACAAGTAATACAAACAAGGAATGTGCCACGGTATTAAAAGACTATGTCGGTATAGCTTCTACAGTGCATATACCTATATATCGTAATTTCTACAGATTAGTATTCTCATACGGTAGTCTGTGAATTGGTGCCTTCAAATGTATACCAATAATGAATACTACAACTTAGGGAAACCAGTACAAGGGAATAAAAGTAAAAGCTAAACTTACTTTGAAGAATGCCATTGGTCCAAGCTTAGCAGTGTAGAAAAATAAATCCGCTATGCCCTAGAAAAGCCTTGTATATAGATCATTTATTATATCTAAACTTATCGAAATATGTATCAAATTTACCTTAAATTCTCCTGGTTTAGCGTTCATTGCACGAGTTTTTAATACATCTAATGGTTGCGTAAGCGTTGTGGCTATAGCGCCCTTGAATTTGAACAAAAATTTTATTAATAAATAATCATTCCAAGTGAATATACCTTCAAATAAAATATATATTCAAATAATCACTCTCGAGTCTTTCTAGAAAACAAGTTTCTTTCCTTGCATATTCACTTTGAAATCTCTCAGGTACCTAATTTCATGTATTCACATATACTTACTGCAAATACACTCGATAATATATGAGTAACAGGATTATCTTTAAAATAACCACTTTGCAACATCATAATTTTTATTTGATCATAGAAACTCAGTTGTCCAATGGTCATTAGGGCAGCCCTTAATGTTGCAGTGGAACAACCACTGAATAACTTAGGTACACCTTCTTGTTGAATTATACGTGCTACTCCATCTAAAGCATGCCTATAACTAAAATCAAATGGTACTTAATATTAACCGACAGAATTAATAATTAATTTACTTAGAGACACGTATACATTCTTACTTCCGTCTTAATTCTGGAGATAGTTTTATGTCATTTTGCATGCGCACATTAACTACGTCTCCTGGTGTTCCAAGGATTCCTCCGATAACACCGGAGAAGCCGGCCAGTAGTAATTTTTGATAAAATAACAACGAATGGCCAGGAGTTTCAAATTTTTGTTTACCAACCTACATTCATTAGATACATTAAAATGCTACAAACAAGCACATATATGCAAAGCATAAACAAATTTACTTCGTATGTTCCAAATCTCATAGTAGAATATGTAAGTTGACGAAGCAATGAAGCGCTAAGGCCATTGTATAGAGCTAAAATTCCTTGTTTCTGTATGATAGAGGTAGTCAATCGTATCGCAGATACCTTGCCCTCCTGTTGTGTTTGTAAATGGACCTACAAATTGATTTTTAAGATATTTAAATATAACGTATGTCCTTAGAAATAAATTATAAATAGTAACTCCTATGAAATAACACCAATTAATAGAGATCTAATAACAAAATACCTTTAACAAGTCCAAAGGGTGGGTAACACAAGCAGCACCTGCAGAAGAAATCCCCCCAAAATACCAACGTGACAATTTTTTTGTTTTATCTGCCATTGTTCAATGCTCTATATCCTCCTAATAAATATATATATATATATATATATTATATTAAATATATATTATTTATTTTATATATATAAAATATATATTTTTTATATATATATAAAAAAGAAGAAGAGAATTATTAGAGTTATTTTTCTGTTTTTATATGTGTCAATTATTAATAGTGATCAAATTAAAACATAGCATGTACAGTATAATATCACATAAATAATACAGCACAAAAGTATAAATAACATTATGTAAGTAACTAAATGCACTATACTGTTTTGAAAAAATTAGTGAATAAGGGTAATATAAAAATTTGGTAATGTCAAAATCATGCAGTATGTCGTAATTGAAAAGAATGACTTATTTCAATGTAAATAAGAAGAGCATCGAGTTATTATAAAGATATTACACGTATATTTTATAAAAATTAATGATAAGAACAATACGCATACTTACAAATGTTTTAAATTAATAACCAGAAAATATAAATATGCTGAGAACGATCAAACTTACGGAATTCCATAGATATAATGCGATATTTGGATCATTGTTGGTCAGTTAACACATTTGTATGAAGTTTCATCATCATCTGACGAAAAACACATGATTTAATTAACTCTGGAGACCACGAAGGCGCACGCATCAGCTGATGGCCACGTGTTAATATCGCCTCTTTTCGTCAAGGATAGAACTATGTACCCTATGTAATATGGTACTCACTTACGTACTTACCTACTTATTATTGACATACTTGCTTTTGCAAATGATTTGCAAGTTAACAACGTCATATGCAGGTCACTTTGAAATTATCGCCAAGATCGCTTATTGATGAACACATTCAAAAACAATATGTACAATCTGTCTGTGTGATAAAATCTATTGTTGTATTTTCGACAATATTCATCGTACATTAAAATGTTTCTATTTCTTTTCTTTTTCTTTTAAATTCAAACAACACACGAATAACAAGATTTTACAATTTTTACAATTTTTTTTATTAACGTAAAATGTATTTATATTTATGTTCATACAATTACAATGAATACGAATATGTTATATACACGTTTAAAATTACTCTAAAATAAAAAGTACCTCTACAAATACTCTGTATATTTGCAAGACTTTGAGATAATTCTGTATTTCATAATGGGTATTTACAAGTATATAACATCGTAAGAAATACGTTCCAGTAACAACAAGCGGGAAAATCGGGCGCGTGGGTAATACTTAAATCTAAATATTTGTATATGTATATAAGTGTATTTATGCGACCTTATTGTTTATAAACCAAATTCGAAATATGATAAAATGATAGTCGAATTGAAAGACTGTTAATGTCTTTTAAAAAGAAATATTTTAATAAACTCATAAGGGTATGCAAATGAATATATACTTATTATTTATGATCTCTTAAAAAGACATTTTATTTATGTTTTATTTATATTTTATTTTATATATATATATTATATATATATATTTTATATATATATATTAAATGAAACTAATATAATTAATGTCCAGGTGAATAAATTTTAACCTGACGATCCAATAACTTATACATGTATTTTGATATTTCAGACCATTTGTGTTCGTTCCTAATGCGATCTACTCTCCAATTAATTGTTATTTTTCCAGATACATCATTGGATTGTCCTGTTTTAAAAGAATCAATTTTAACAAATAAATGAGCCATATGTTTCAAAATATGTACACTTCTATTGGCAATGGAGTTCTGTAGTTCACATTTGTACGTATGTATTGCGATACAAAGCTGAGATGCAATGTCGTGTTCAATAAGCGATCTTAAGAATCTTACATAAGACATGGAGTCTTTCAAAGTAAATCCTAAATTATAAAGATGACCCAAATCATCAATGATAATTATCACGTGTTTATGAGATTTTTTCATTTTGTGATATTCATCTGTTATTGTACCAAACAAACTATCATTTATATCATTACTAACATTATAAGTTACATTAACATCAGTTCCTTGCATATCATATGTCCTTTCATCATTTCTGCTTCGCATCTTAGATTCTATAATTTTCATTGGTTCTATAACACGAACCTTACCTTCTGCTCTTAAAACTGTAAGATTATAACCAAATTTCATACCCACATTATGATAATGATGAAAGGTATTATGAAAAAGTGCAAAGCAAATTCCATAATTTCTATTCAACGCATCGAGAATAACCGAATTCAACACAAAATTTGCATTGCTGTTGTGTCGTTCTTCGATTAAAATTAATTTTCCATCCACATTTACTTTATCAATGCCAAGTATGTTACATACCGGATCCATTTTACTATCAACGACAAGCACTAAAAACGAAAAAGTAGGCATTTGCGTTTCAGAAATTTTAAAACTGACATTTCAAAGCACATTTACATAAATACATTGGTTTATTAGGAAAAGAAACCTATTTCCATTACATGATACGTTAACTTTAATGTTTTCACAAATTTAAATACCCTTTCCAATCATTCGTATCGGTTCCTTCTTAAAATTATTATTGCTTCATTGTTTCCGTAACGACGTGATTTCTGCGAATAAGCAAGCGTTTCAGAGTTAAAGGATTCCACTTTATTGTAAATCAATTTTCAACTGTTCTTTTTTATAAATGAAAAATCCCTTCATTTTATACAACCATTTTTACACAATATCCATCCACTATGTAAACAGAAATCCAGGTATATTAAATTTATGAAATGTGTAATTAAAGTATTAAAACCGATGGAATCTCTATCTTTCGTAGATTTGTCGTTCACTGTCACATAAACATTCGAAATAATAATCACGTGACGTATTACGATTTAATCAGCACTGAACATAACGCGAGATATTTTTCTTAAAATTTTGAAAATACATACACTTTCGTTGGATCAGCGATAAACTGATATTATTTTAAATTTATAGCGACGAATTGTTTCACCACGTGTTCGAGCTTGCACGAGGTTATTGTACTTATTGCGACTCGATTGTAATGATTATCTGTGGGAACGTACACTGAAATTCCGACAGGTGAATTAGGCAAGTCGATGGACTTCTTTTCAATCAAGCACTAGTCACAGTTCGATTACATCTTTTCTCGTCTCATTTGCGATACTAATTTGCTATTCGTCGGTACGGTTCCATAGAACGAATCAAAACCATAGACAAAATCCCTAGCGAGAGACCCCTCTTGCCTCTGTGCTATCGCCGGGCTCGTCACGACAACAACGCGGAATAACTCGTGATTATTATTGTAACGCTATCCTGTGAGAATGCCGTTCCGTTATCAATGTTCATAATTTAGAAGGGAAATACGAATAATTTAGCGAGAACATTATAGGCGGAGTATATTATCGTAAAACACAGAACATTATGTGTTTCTCTAGGTTTCCCGCGCTTTCTTTCGGCACATGCGTATGGAATCGTTCACGCATTAACCGGATATCACCCCCACAGGCCTACCCCGGACAAGAGTGAACTCCTCTACTATTGGGCCAAAGAGACTCGGAAGGAAAAAACAGGACCAAGGAAGAGATTTACAACGTGATTTGTAAACTTAGAAATAAAATAGAAATCGTAACGGTTCTAAATCAAAAGTATTAGATTTATTTCACGCGCCGCGAACAGAGTACCTTGGTGCTCCACGGGTACCTTACCCACGTTAAATTTCCCTAAAATTTCCCTAACCGCGAACGGCACACGATAATCTACCAGAAAGTGATTGAGAAACATGGCAACCACTAGTGGACAGTCGCCTACTTTATCCACTGTATCTACATGTAGGAGACACCGTCCTCTTGGAAGTCAAGCCAGAGAAATCGTGTATAATGTACACGCATATTTGACAGAGAATAAAAAGAAATTTCATTTAGAATATAATGTTCTAGAATCTACATCAGATGCTACCGGTGTTTCACGTTCAACTGTAAATAGAATTGTAAGAGAAAGAAAGAAGTCTGTTACAGGTGAAGACTCCACCTTTCCTTTCGCTCCGAAACAAAGAGGTGGTCAGAATAAAATTGAATTCAGCCCTTTTGTCGAAGGAGCCATAAGGAGGAAAATACACGAATTCTATCTTGTTAGAAAAGAATACCCATCTGTAAACAATGTTCTGAATGCTTTGCGCGAAGATGGTACCGTGACTTGTAGTAGAGAATCTCTTCGCTTGAAAATCAGAGATCTTGGATTTGAATGGAATTATATAAATGATCAATCCAATAGAAAATTGTTAACTGAAAATTCAGAAATAGTGTTGTGGAGACGACAATTCTTGCAGGCTATAAAACAATTCAGACAAAGCAAAAGAGTTATCGTATACTTTGGTACAACTTATTGGCATACGTTACATATTACGACCAAATGCAGGCAATCGGCTGAAGAAATTTCCAAAGGAAAAAAGGTCATTATTGTTCGTGGTGGAGGAGAAATGGGATTTATACTTAATAGTTTATTATTGTTCAAATCAAAGACACCTATGGAGAATCAACATAGCAACATAAATAATAGTCATTTTATGAAGTGGGTCGAGGAACTTGTAGTACCAAATTTACCAGCAAGTTCAGTGGTTATTGTGGATAATACACCATACCATACTTTAGATGAAAACATTAAGTCAAAACTTATGAAGAACATCAAAGTGAAGTTATCTCCAAAAGATTCGAGTTTCGATAAGCTTCTTCAAAGCCACGGACACGAAGTATTAAGACTCCCACCTTATCATCCAGACCTAAATCCAATAGAATTGGTTTGGGGTGATATTAAAAATAAGGTGGACAAAGAATGTTTATCCGCCAAGTTGAAAGAGAACAAGGACTTTCTTTTGAACTGTTTTTATCAAATTGCCGTTGAAAAGTGGAAAGTTTATTGTACACATGTACAAAAAATAGAAGATGAATATTTACAACACCATGAATTAATGGATGGAAGCATACACAGCTTCATTGCACAAGTAAGGGAAAGTACATTGTTAGATGAAAGTTCCGAGAATGAGTGAGAACCAAGTGAAAAAGATTTATAATATTTGTATATGCAAGCTATAAATAAAAGATTTAATCTTGTATAATAAATAATACTCACTAAAAAGCCTAGAACATCATTTTTGTTTCTAAATGATGAATGAGGTAAAAAAAGGAATTGTTTTAAAAGCTTTTCATATAATGTTTATAAAAGAAAAGTATTCTTTTGTTCTTGTTCAAACGAGCATTTTATATTAGAATTTAAATTCTAAATTCTTTTATGCGTTTCTACACATGAAGAAAATGAAAATTATTGGAATCTTAGATGCTTTATTTGCATATTATTTCACTTTTGATAGCTTACACACTTTTCACTATTAAATTACTTATTCAATTAAGGATTGTTCTTTATCGATATCACAGATGTATTATCTAGTCTCATTAAATATCAAGTATATTTTACATTCTTTTTAATAAATGCAATTATGACATAAAAAGTTCTGGACTGATTAATAGAGTTTTCAAGTTTGAACGAATAACATACATTTCAGCTGGTTGTACCGTACAGAGTTAAACAAAAAATAACAGAGTTTGAATACTTATTTGTTCAAAACTATCATACATTGACATCATTATATTAATATTATTAAGCAATAATTAATAATCGAACGTTTCCAGAGTGTCCGTAAATAAAAACCCCTCTGTCTTTCAGGTTGTGATTTATGTATTTATGTATTATAGGTTATCTTAAAACTATAAACACTCATAAATAAATAAAACTGAACAAAATACCGTCATTCGCAACATAACATTTCCTTATGCAAATCATTGTGACTTTACGATCAGTTTTATTAGAAATAAAGTAAAGTTAATAAAATAAATATTGTATAAAGATGAATAAAATTTACACTTATCCTCGCACGTGCCGTAAATACCGATAGACAGCAATGCCACGCAAAGTTCCATGGAATAGGCTTGAAAAGAGCGATATCAGCGCTTTCTGGTGTTATAATTGATTAAGCTGCCTAATAGCCTCAAAGTTTGTTAAAAGCACACAGACGAGGTATCGTCTGTGGTAAAAGTACTCAAATACTGTCGATTATGCTTCATTAACTTGCCATTGTACCTAAAGGCGCCTATAAATAGAATTTAATAATAATTTGCATTTGTACATAAAATATATTTTATACATACAAAATGATACAATCTTGCACATATAAGAGAGATTCAACTTCACGAACGATTAATAAATCGGTTATTAATGAGTAAATATTGTAGTCCAGTCTCACATAACAAGAGGACTTACTCTACAGAAATAAATAATCCAACGAAATTTCCTGGTTACGATGTAATCTATACTTTTCCATACATTAGAAAGTTTTCCGTTTTAAACAAAGCAAAGCGTAATTTAACCGTTTTCACTGGAGTAAGCACATTAACATCTCTATGTTTACAATTATCAGATTTCATTCCAACCAATGAGTGCTTGTTAATTACAGGAATTGGTGAGTGTTTATAATGAAATTCTATTTAATTCTTCTGTAGGATTTGAATTATTTTAATTAAATACAAAAATAAAGTAAAGGCGAAAAAATTAACATTCTACATGCATTCAAACTATACTCATAATTTTATTTTAAGCTTGTGTCAAATTAATTAGGTATTCGATATCTTGAAGAAGTAACTGAAATATAAAGTACTTGTAAACTGACTGTTTATATGACAATACTATGTTGTTCTTTTGCTATGCTTTAATATTTTTTATAAAAAAAATTTAGTGATTCAACTTTGAAGAGATATATTTCAAATTCTACAAAAAGCATAAAAGCATTTGCATTAAAGCATTTATTGTTTTATACGTATTACTTTTTATATTATATGTTTTAGGTTGCACTTTGACTACTATGTTTCATGTTCTTACCTTTATGTGCAACAATATCATTGGATTTGTATATTTTAAAAAAGAGGATAAAACAATAATATTATCATATTCTAATTATTGGGGTAAAAGGATCAATTTCAGAACTGACATTCAAAATGTTTCACCTCTTTCAGAAACTCCTTTAAATGTTTGTTCTTACATGTACAGAATAGTGAATATTAAATCATGTAAAGAGAAATTGAAATTAAGTTTGCCATATGGACGAATAGTTAAAGGAGATCATTTTTCAAATATATTTAATGTACACAACTAATTCATGATATTCACATGTATAACTATATTCTTACTTTATAAATGAACGATGGTATGAACATTGACTCTATTTTTGGTATGAATGTGTAACTTGTAAGATTATCGCAGCTCTTTTCCCATTTACATCCATCTAAAATGTGCATAAGCACGATTTGCTTCACAAAGTTTATGTAAGTCGTGCTTCCTTTTAATAACTCGACCCTGAAATGCAAACCATGAAAAAGAAATACGTTGTACATCTTATGTTTACCTTGTAAGCAAGGAGAACCTATGTACAAACTATGTGACCTGTGATTCCCAAACTTAACCAATGATTCCTTCCACAGAATGTAATCGATCAAATGTTTTATATTATATTACATTATGAATATCATACACATAAATACCTTATTATTAGCAGCATCAATCATTTCTTTTGCTAACGATACAGGATATCTAAGATTATCGTCCTTATCTCGAGCAATTTGAATTAACCAATTCATTGCTAGAAATCTAGATCTTTCAACGGTAAGTGGTACTGGAACCTACAGGTAATTGGAATGTTTGTTCAGTATTACATAAAAGACTTTAATCCGAAAGAATTTAAATAAAAATATGTTTGTACCTGGTAAAAAATTCCACCTTTCTTGATCTTTTTTATTTCTAATATAGGTGTACAATTTTCTACAGCACGATGAAAAATTTGTTTTGGGTCCAAAAGAATAAATTGTTTCTCTTCAGGGGAAGCTGCATTGTAACGTTGTAATTGTAACATTTTAATATTTTCAAATGTACTTTCCAATAATTTTCTAGATAATACCTTATTGCCATGACGCATAAGATAGTTTAAGAATTTGCTAATAATCAAAGATGATGCATGTTTCAATGACTGAAATTGATTTTTTTTTTTAAGTAAAAATTAAATTG